GGTTCATGTTCCTGTGATCAGGATCGGCTACTCGCAGGAATCTGAATATCATTATACCAAAACTGGCTAGATATGGAAACAATGTATCTCATGAGCACGTCATGGTGAAGTATCAATCTTCACGTGAACCATGCGCATCATAGAATGATATGGCGCAACACACTCGTAAACATGTAGCATGAGGTGCTAGGGAGATGCCATACGAGCTTGGCAAGCTCACGGGATGCACAAGGACATCGAAGTCAAATCTCATAGAGAAGATATGTGTCATGAGATGCTGCGTGCATCTTGCGACCTATTCATACCTAGCTGTGTCTGTTGTAACTTCATGGGAGATTGGGTTTATGTGTGAGAATAAGTCTCCGGGCTTTTAGAAAGGTCTACCGAGGGGTTTAACCAATATATGGTGCAATCCCGCTTGCCCGCGCGGCCGGAAGGCGTAAAGGGGGAAGCCCGAACGATGCGGGCATCTTATAAGGACACCTACTGCGATGATCTATACGGATGGCTCATTATCATAACGATATGTTGAAGAGATTTCCTGGTGTTCTATGTTGATATGGCCATATTCAACACATAACATGCCTTTTACATTGAAGGAATGCGGCGAATATCCTGTTCAACTGCCGATTGGGTGCCTCATTATGACGGCTTCATTACTCTTGCCAAAACTGGCATGCAGCTGCCAATGTAATCTGCCATGATTACTTCCACCACAAGAGATACTTGACTTCTTGTTCATGTCACATATTAGAAAGTTGGTTTTAGGCATAGTATAGTTATTATACTTCTGCTTGGGTAACAGGATTTAGTTTACGGAGATATCCATAAGACACACGATGAAGTGCGTCATGGGCTTTAACAAGACCATATTAGAATGGTTGCGGCATACAGGTGCATTGCCTGCAGCATAGATACAACAAGCGGTATTGTTTACAGCTGATGACAATCGTATGTGCGTGTCGGTGTATGTTCGTGTGTGCATGTGCAAATAATGTGTTTTCACGGCAGTCGACCTATGACTAGATGGTATGAGCAACAAGACAGTGAAAATGATTAATATTGCAGGTGGACCTCCATATGTCTGCATATACAATAATGATAGCAAAGCACCATCTCCTTGGAAAGTATAGTAACTAAATTATATCCTTATCCTTTGGGGGCTCGTGGGCTTCAGCCGCAATGATCACTAATCTGGATAAGCCAGCATTGTAGCTGTCAGGATGTATAGAGCAACATCCATGCGATGATTGTCTTCGAAGGTCGTAGGTTTGCAGTTTTCTGGGTTGGCTTCTGTGAGAAGCTGTTGCAATTGAAATACACAATTCCGCACACACAGCTCCAAATACTGGACAAATTATTGGACTGGGAGCTCCGAAACAAGGACAACCAATGCAACAATAACCGCAAACAATAAATACGCCTTTGAAGGAGGTTGCACTAAACAAGCTAGCATTCATACGAAAAACGGTATCGAAACTGAATGTAACAAAGACATCTATGTACATATATGTATATATGTACATATGCAAATGGATCCGGTAACACGATCCAGTTGATCGCCTGCATGTATACAGCTTGAGACGGTGGGAACTGTTTGAGCAACCTGCCTGTATGATGCCAAACTCAACTTGTCATGCTACAGTATATGCTGGACGTCTATATCCAAAATCATATGTTACCATGCACATGATGGGGCCTCCAAAAACCGGTGGGATATGCAAGCGATTCTTTACGTTGATATGCAAAAGTTATATAGATTGACCGGTCTTGTACATCATTCAACGGTGGAGAAATGCACGGTTTCGCAGACGCATTGTATCTCATTTATCTGCAAGATTATACTATGAGACACAAAGAACAACCACAAGATTGAAGTGGCATTGATTTATCGGATAATTAGTCTTCATGAGACTCCACAATGAAAGGTAGTCACAAGTGCATCCCATGCTGATTGGAAAAGTACTTCCCATATCAGGCATCAAGAGCAACAGGGTTAAGTAAGCTTGAAAACCACTAGTATGCAAATTATGACGATTGTAAGTTTTTGTAATGAAAACTCTTAGAAAACAGCATTTTGACTGGAAAATATGGGGCCCGTAATGTCTTACACTCTCTACTTTTATATCCATATCTATATCTTTATCTATATCTAAATCAGAATCTATATCCGTATCTCTATCTACATTTATGTCTATATGTATATCTATGTCTATGTCTATATCTTTATCTGTCTATGTATCTATATCTATATCGATGTCTGTATCTTTATCTTCATCATTATATTTATCTGTATCTGTATCTATATCTATATATCTATGTCTGAATCTGTATCTACATTCACCGGGTCCCCAGCCTCATTATTCCTGCCTCGGCTTTCAGTGATGGCGGGCTCTGGATGGCTGAGAAGGGCGGCCAGGTGGTTAGAGATGGTATGGCGGGCAAAGTTAGGCCGGTGCAATGGCCTTATCTTCTTTTCGACTCTCGTGTGGCACATGCCACAGAGCAGTGGACTGGGGAACGCACTGTTATTCTGGCATACCATATCCGTGATGGCTGGAGGGTGAGCAATGCTGATGCTGAGCTGTTGACTGGATTGGGTTTCCAGTTTTGGACGGGAGACGCAGTCTCAGATCCATACATGACTCAAGAGTAGCGCACACTTGAAGCCCAGAAGCGGCTCACTTCCATTACTTTTATCATCGTGGAATGCTAAATGCATTTGTGATTTCGGTCGCCGCCGGGCAACAGCCTGCCACTCTCCGCATAGTGTCTACGGATGCTGCGTCGTCAAGTTCAAAATTTGTATCTACATTTATATCTACGTCTATATCTGTATCTGTATCTATATCTATGGCCGCCCCCCGGTTGACAGACCATGCCCTTTCAAGCGAGTTGCAATGCCTGATCTGTCATCGATTGTCAATAGGTTGCGAAAGTTTCTTGGTTTTCAAACCAGACTTTCCAATAAAAAGTTCCAACAGGCTAGCGGACTTGAAATTTTGAAATTTTGGATTTTCGGAAAGCTAGGGGTTCCAAACTTTCCAAACGGTTCGCCCTTATGCTTTGGAAGGATCATGTCGCTCGCTGTGCGTTTGTATTTTTAGTCAGCAGTGTTTTCTATGTGTTCTCATGATAAGCTGCGTGCCGCACCGGTGGCTCAAATGGGAAACAACATAGGAACACTGCATTAAGGGCCGCGGCCCCGCATGTATGCAGAAATTCTTTTTCACCCACCCACCACACCCGTTGGGGGGCTACGCATCGTGCCTCGCACAGCACAGACCTAACTGCTCGCCACGCTTGGCACGGACATTGCAACCTCCGCCGTGAAAAAAGAGTGAGTGCGCTTTCTTTCTCTTTTGCTGTCTCATGTGCTTGCATGAAACCTTCATAGAGAACCACTAGGTCCGGCAATTTTGGAAATCTTGGAACTCTCGCAAAGGTGTATACACTCTTGCAAAAAAGTGTATACACTGACGGCGGAAGTGTATGCACGTTTGCAAAAGTGTATACACTTGCATGTATACACGTGTGGCAAAAGTGTATACACCTCCGGCCTGTATACATCATATGTATATATATATATTGCCAAAAGTGTATGCACTTTTGACAAAAGTGTATGCACTTTTGCCAAAAATTGTATGCGCTTTTGTTTACAGTGCATGCACTTCCGCTGAAAATGCATCGCTTGTATGAACAAGCGCATACGATTTGTTCAAAAGGTTTTGGATTTTTTGTGAAAGCCCTCAGATATTCAACGCAAAAACAAGATTTTGATTGAAAAATATAGGTTTACACAAACAAACCCAAAGTTTTTCCAGCGAAATCCCTGTTTTTGGTACAAAACCCATCACGTTTATAAACAGAATCTTTTTTGTCCAAAAAGTCGTGGATGTCCTGCAAATCTTCAACAAGAATCAGATTTTGTTTGAAACAATTAGGAAAGGACACAAAAATCCAAGGTTGGATCAAACCCGTCACTTTTACAAATAAATGCAGACTTTTTTTACAACAAATTTTGTTTTTTTTTGAGAAAGCTTTCAGATCTTCAAAGAAAAAACAAGATCTGTAGTAAAAAACCAAGATGTTTCACAGAAGCCCAAATTTTTCAAGCGCAATGTCAGTTTTTGGGATTGAATCCATCACCTTTGCAAACAAATGCATACCTAGAAACTCTCAGATCTATCTTCATCTGAAAAGGCAAGACTTTATTGAGCAAGTTTCACTATTTCGCAAAAACCAAAGGTTTTTTCAGCGAGATCTCAGTTTTGAATTAAACCCACCACTTTTGGTAATTTAATGTACTTCCGTTCCAGCATAACTTTATATATGTCAAATCGCTCCTATTTAAAGTATTTACATAGTCGACATCGTCTAAAGTATGGAAACACGGGTGAAGCCCTGCAAAAAAACAAAAGACCACAGGTGAATGTATTGAATGTATCTGGGATGTTGCATAATTAACATAGTCTAAATACTGTTCCTGTTCCCCTTCCACGACTATTTAAATGATGTACACCGTTTCAAATAATGTCAATACGTTAAATAATGCAAGTATTCGAAATAAATTCACGCAATACTTTTTCAACACAACATTCATGCGTCAAAAAGACCTTAACCCTGTTTCTCTGACGTCTACATCTATATCTATATCTATACATATATTTATACCTATACCTATACGTGTACCTATACCTATATCTATCTCCACATCTGTATCTGTGTTTTGTCTGTATTTGCTTTTTGGTTTATGTCCGTATTTGTATCTTTCTTTGTATTTATGTTCATGCTTATGTCTCAAAAACATCGATGTGTGCACGTATATATGGACGCTGCTTGTGTTAAATTCAGATACACACGTACCAGCGTCGGCAGCAGCAAAGCCGGCGAGTGCGAGGGGCACGCGCAAGCCTCTGTGGGTGTCAGCATGGGCTTTCTCTCGCTTGCACTTCTCAGGCAGCCGGAGCCCTGGTTGAAGGGCTGTCACAGGAGGCTGTATGCCGAGGCTGAGAACCGAAAGCTCCTTTCGACTGGTACGCGAAAGCCGCGAGGAGGCGATCTTGCAGTTCCAGGTCCAGTGTCTCGGAGCTCCCCGGCTGCGCCCCAACCAGCTTGGTGCCTTGGCGGAGCTCTCAGGAAGGGGGCCGAGAAAAGCCGTAAAGAAGGGACATGTGAAGTGCTGGAGGTGGCCTTCAACCACGGCACCGGAGATGTGCTGCCCAACATGGTGGAAATCCAAGAAGGCCTGTTGTCACGAAAAGCCGCGTGCCCAGGTTTTTCAGAAGCCGTTTGCAGCTCTAGTCTCTCAAAGACCGGTTGAGGTGGATGGGCTGGAGATGGGTGCCCCCTCGATGATGCTGGCTCGGCTGTTAGAGGCGTCGCGTGGGCTGTTCCACGCCTCTGTGCCTGTTTTGCTCTTCCAGGTGGAGAGAGACAGCGTCTCTCGCTTCCCCCCAATGGAGACGAGGCCAGGTCGACCTCGCCAGGCGTCGCTGCAAAGCACACTTTGTTCCTTTTCGTGGAGGTCAGCCTTAAGGAAATTGAGCATTTTTTGGGAAAGACTGGAGGAAGGCGAGATCACGCAAGCACAGGTGTTCAAGGGCCCGGTCCCATTTCGCAGGCTTTGGCGTCCACGCTCCGACCAACTCCAATCCAGGAGAATCCGGGAGTCGGGGGCCGAGCGCGGCAGCGCTTGCAGAGGCGCTTGCGGCAGCGTGAAGCCGAGCCCAGGCCAAGACCTGGCGGTGGCCAACCCGGCCCCGCAATCCGTCGCTTCCGCTGGGCCTGAAGCTCACGAAGGGCGGTCTCGTGTTGACAACCTGAGACAGTCGAGCTCTTACGGTTAGAGTTTCGGAGTCTGTGTTCTCTAAACACTCTGCTTGATTGACGCGACTCAGAGGCTCCGGGAATATCGCTGGGCGCCACATCAGCCACTCTAGCCCAGAGCAGATCCAATTCAGGTCAAAAGCGGGGTTGGCTCCTAGCATGCTTTCGGGCTCCAGAGTCCCGGCTGACTGTGCGGAAGTAGCTTTGAGGATGCCGGGGATGTAACAACGATGAGTATGGAGTCATGTTCTTTTCCTTACGGGTACAAGCCTGCCGCGGCTCGAGGTTGTGCAATCCGTTTCGCGCGGTTTGCTCCTTCATGTGGCAGTTCACAAGCAATGCCTGGGCTTCGGCAACAACTGTTCATGCTTGCTGTTTGTTTACTTCGCATGCCAAGGCAGACTATGCCGGCACATCAGCCGTGGAGTAACGACATGCGTCCACTCCGGAATCGTTAAACAACAATGCACGAAGCAGCAATGCAAGTGTGGGAAGTGATATGAAAATTGGGCTAGTGCACACAATCCCCATCAGAGGATGCTTTCCGAACACGATGCCTAGTTCCATGTGTCAGCTGATTCTGCAAAGTCCAAAACTGCTCTCAATGCTTCCATCATCACTTGTGCGCGTCGTGTTACTTGTGAGCATCTGGCCCTGGCTGACCTTTGGCAACGGCAACGAGGATTGTTTTCGTGGGCAGCCCGGGCTCAGCTATGAGACATGCTGCCAGGAGAAGTCACAGGAACAGCTTTGCTGGGGTGTCGATGCGGAATTCGTTGGCGAGTATTGCTGTGGGCACGATGTTCGTCCAGAAGCAGAGCTGTGGAATCTAGTTGGCCATGTCATTGTGGAGGTTCTGTCTGCCGTGGATTGCGAGTTGGAAGCCTGGCAGGACGGAACATCTGACAAGTGTGAACATGCTTTATTGAACAGGTTAGTTCAGCTGGACATTGTTGACAATAACTGGGTCCACAAAGAGTGGTTGCCCTCCATGCATCGCAGGGGCGGCAGAACTTCTGTCGAAAGGCTGCACTTTGCCATGCTCTTGTGCCAGACATTTCTACATTCGCGAACTACATCAATGGTGCAAGCATTTGAAGGGGATTTTCTGACTTCATTTCGAGTCTCGCATGCGGCAGGAGCTGACGAGCTTCGTCGAATTTCATTGCATGCAACAGGAAGAAGTTGGGCCAGGCAGCTGGCCGTTCTCAGGAGTGCGCCACGCGACCTGGGCGTCGTTCACCTTGCAATGGTTGCATCTGTTGGCGAGCCGGTGTTTGCCTTCAAAGCCATGGCTACAATCCGGTCTGCCCTGTTTTTCGCTCGAAGCAGGAGGTTGCACTTCCACCTCTTTGTAGATGCTGCAGGAGAGCGTGCCATGCGCTACTGCCTGGACGAGCTGCGGCAGCGGGAGCCAATTTTGGCATCTCGTGCTGCAGCGTTTGAGCTGCATGGAGAAGATGTGCTGCGCCATCTCTTCAAGCTCCTTCGAGAAAATGTTGTGCCGGGATGTCTGGGGTTTACAAAGCTTTATGGCGATTCAGGCTGGATTCGGCTTTTTGCTCATGAGCTCCTTGCAAATCGTCCCGAGGTGGACTTGCTAGTATTTATAGACGCTGGGGACTACATATTTCTGGAAGATGTATCGCGGATCCTGATGCAACGACGGCATTTCCGAGCATCACAGGTTGCAGCCACTACACGAGGCGCGCACCAGCTTTTGCAGCTTCTGGATTTGCCGCGCATGAGACGCCACGACTTCACGAAGATCGTTTCCAAGACGAACCGGGAAGGCTTCGAGTCGGCTCCTTCAACCTTTTGTGAAATTGGGGAGGGCTACACCACCGACAGGCTTGCTATGAACGCAACGCTGTGGCGTGTCATGGAGGAGCCTTGGGCTGTTGAACCGAAGGAGCACGGAGGTGTACAACTTCGAGGTGGGGGTGTCAGCAACTTCTGGAATGAGGAACTTGATGGTGCCATCTGGCGTGATCGGGTCTATCCAGGGCTCTTTGATGACTGGACGGTCTTGAGAGTTTATTGCCCACTCTTTTTGGAAAGTTTTTTTGCAACGACCTTCCAAGGGAAACTGCCGCCAAGTAGCGCACAGTACAAATTTTTGGGATGGATGGTGAGCTGGTATCATCGCGGAAGCATCGGAAACTGGACACTCGAGGAGTCAGGCTTCTTCAGCGAAAATTTTGGCCATCGTCGTTGCAATGAGAAGGCTTGGGGTGTACATTTCACTGCAGGCTTGAAAAGTGTCCCGTGGGCCAGAGACTTCCTGAATTTCTGGTCGGGTGCTACAAAGCTGGGTCGTGGCGAGGCCCTCGCATGGGGCACAGATAACCAGGACTGGACGAAGCGCTCGCTGGCTTCGGCCACGACTTTTTCCGAGCTGAGCGGATGAGCTAAAAGCTCTGAGTGACTGCGTCAGACCCTGAAGGAGCTACCCCCCGTACATCCAATAAAGTTTGGGCTATGTGACCTGATTTTGAATGCCGCTTCCGTGCCTACCGACTGAAACCGCCGGATTTGTGAGTTGCGGCATGCACGCCGGCACGTGCGTTCTTGGTTCGATTCTGTAGTTAATCGAGTTTCAAGCATGAGCAGCAGCCCGCGTCGGCCACACAGCTGCAGGAGACTTATGCTGCCGCAACGTTGGAACACAGAAAGACCCCAAGCAAAACTCCCTGCGGGACACTTCATGTCCGGCTTTGGAGGTGACGTACAGCCCTCCACAAAAGAAATCCCGAAACGCAAGAGAGATCAGCTCCATTGATTAAACCACACGAAAACCCCATGTCTGACATGGCCGGAGCCTAGTCAGAACTCATCCTCGTCACTTGCCGTCTTAGCCGTCTTATTGACCTCGCGATCAAGGCAATGCGATCCTGAAGTTGCGTAGTGGCCGCCCGAGCGGAATCACGATCCGGCTTCTGCTGCTCCACAAGTTCACTGTGCTGTTGGTCATGTTGAAGCCGAAGATTCTGCAATCTTGTTGCAACGGCAGCAAGGCGTCCTTCCTGTTCCTTGAAACACTGCTGAGTAGGACCCCGAGGTGTTTTGGGGCAGGGGCAGTGGGAACAGCCGGAGCCACACCAGCAGATATCCGGGATTTGTTCTTGGCAGCATGAGCACTCCACGGGTCCGAGAGAGTCCAAGGGTCCTCCTCAGCATGGCCATTTGCAGCGCCGAAGAAAGGAGAGGACCTACCACTGAAGGAACCCGATTGCAACACTAGCTTCTGCGGAGCCGGATGCGGCAGCTTTGTGATCAGAATGGTACCAACACTCAACCCATGCTCTGCAAGATTGCTTTCCCATCGAGAAGCGGCGAGTTCAGGTCTGCGTTGAAGAGTGCCGGACTGAGTACATCACATTGCTTGACTCCACGTTGTGTGGCAAACTCATTGCCGTGTTGTACTTGGCCCGTTTGTGATCGATACAATGCGGATACCAAGCTAATGTAACATTGTGGAACACCTTGTTCATGAAGTGCTTGAACAGCGATCTGTGGTCTATTCTGTCAAACGCCTTCTTTAAATCCAGGCTCCGGCTGTAAATGTCAAGCAAGGATTCGTGGAGTTCTGCGCAACCCAACTTGAACATTTCCAAAGCCAAACCTGCATCGTCGCCACTTCTCAGACTGCGCATGTGTAGTAGTGCATGTCTGAGTTCGGGAAGCTCAACAGGCGGAATAGTCGAGAAACCAAGGGCACTTCGACTAACTGCCGCAAGCGGCCGCGTGGCTCAGTGCCATACCGAGCGAGGCTGGCTCCGCTCTGCCGCCGGACCGTATGCTCATAGCACTGCGGCGGCGGCTGCGGTTGCCCCTGCCGTTCGCTCCACACAGATGTGGCGCACACGGGCACGGTTGTGGCGCCGCTGTCGACGCTTACGGCGATCACCACGCCGCGTGCCCTCGTAACGGCTTGCTCGCCCGCCGAGCCAAGCCCCTCGAGCATGCTTGGGTGCGTATCGCACACGAAGCTGTTGGACCTCAGGGCCAGGTAGTGCCCCAGCAGTGCCCCAGCAGTGGCTGGCGTGCACGTCCGCCCCTGACGTTGACCCAGCCGATCGCCGCCGCCTCGACCTTGTCGTCTACGAGGCTACTCCACTTGGCGAGGCGTTGTGTTGCGACGTCACATTCGTGTCCCCTCTGACGCGTGAGGGACGGGCCCATCCTTCCGCTGCCACGCGCGACGGCGCTGCCATCGTTGTCGCAGATACGCGCGAACGTGTGGCCTACCCTGAGCTGCTGCGACCCGGGCCGCAGCGTTTCTCTTAATACGTGCCTACAAGGCCCCGACATCTCAGCCAGCGTCCCGGGCGTCCCCAGCGTCCCCGGCGTCCCCGGCGTCCGCAGCATCCCTGGCGTCCGGCGTCCCCGGCGTCCCCAGCGTCCCTGGCGTCCCTGGCGTTCGGCGTCTTCAGCGTCCACAGCGTCCCCAGCGTCCCCAGCGTCCCCAGCGTCCCGGCGTCCCCGGCGTCCCCGGCGTCCCCGGCGTCCCCAGCGTCCCCAGCGTCCCTTGCGTCCCGGCGTCCTTAGCGTCCCTGATGTATGTGTATGTGTATGTGTATGTGTATGTGGATGTGTATGTGTATGTGTATGTGTATGTGTATGTGTATGTGTATGTGTATGTGTATGTGTATGTGTACGTTTACGTGTACGTGTATGTGTATGTGTATGTGTGTGTGTATGTGTATGTGTACGTGTATGTGTATGTGTATGCGTATATATAAATATAGATATATGTATGTGTGTGTGTGATTATGTGTGATTCTGTGTGTCTTTGTGTTTGTGTCTATATATGTATACATATATACATATGTGTATAGATCTATATATACATATGTATATGTACTCAGATTTGTACACATACACATGTACGTTTACATATAAACATTTATGCCTTCAGTCTGATCTGTATACAGGTATGCATATACATATATATACATATATACATATATGCATATATGCATATATACATATATACATATATACATACATACATACATACATACATACATACATATATACATACATACATACATATATACATATATACATATATACATATATACATATATACATATATACATATATACATATATACATATATACATATATACATAGATACATATATACATATATACATATATACATATATACATATATACATATATACATATATACATATATACATATATATATACATATACATACATACATATATCATATATACATATATACATATATACATATATACATATATACATATATATACATATATACATATATACATATATACCATATATATAGTACATATATACATATATACATATATACATATATACATATATATAATATATACATATATACATATATACATATATACATATATACATATATACATATATACATATATACATATATACATATATATATATATGTATAAGTGTAAACATATATGTAGACGTCCGTATAATACACATATTTCATATCATGTTTATATACATGTATATAAATATAAATATAAGTACATATATATAAATATATGTATCTGTATACATCCATGTATGTATCTACACATACTTGTGGATATATATATATATATATATAGATATATATTTATATATATGCACATTTATCAGCTACTGCGTATATGCATGCTGCATACATATATACATGTCTTTACATACATACAGATATACGTGCATATAAGTATCACCATCGTTTGAAAAGCAACACTCTCCCATGATGAGGCGTCTTGAAGATACTTGCTATGCAGCGAAGCTTTCAACTCTGTTTGCCTTGTCCTAAACTGGCATGGCCTCACCAGTTCCCACTGTCGCGGATTTTGGTGTCTCTCAAATGGTTTTCAGTTCCAGCATATATATTGTTCCTCCGTACGCAAAAGCTCTCTCTTTATATCGAGTTGGATCAGGCTCTCACGTCACCGTGACGTTTGCTTGAGCCGAAATTTGAGCCTTTTAGGGTTCGGGCCCGAACCTCAGGGTTTGAGGTTCGGGTTTTGTTCCAAATCGCGACTTGCATGGGGCTAGGGCGGTACAAGCGGGCAACGCCGCTTCCCCTCCCCTTCCCCTTTCTGCTCAAATGGCCTGTCCTCCACCAGCACCTGTCCTCCTGAGCGCAAGCCGCGGTCGGGAAAGTAAGGGGCCGAGGCTTAGGGTTGTTTCCTGACGCAAGCATGCTTCTTTAATTGGGGCTATGTACATGCATTTCAACTTGCAGGCGGCCTTGCAACTTCCAAGCCTCAGCTTCCACAGCTGGAGCCTCTCATGAGAGGCTCACTTTGCACAGCTGGAGCCTCTCAAGCTTCAGATTCCAAACGTGGAGCCTCTCAAGCCTCAGTTTGCGCAGCTGGAGCCTCTCAAGCCTCAGCTTGCACAGCTGGAGCCTCTCAAGCCTCAGTTTGCACAGCTGGAGCTTCGCAAGCCTCAGTTTCCAAATGCGGAGCCTCTCCAGCCACACTTTCCACAGCTGGGCCCTCTCAAGCCTCAGTTTCTAAATCTGGGGCCTCTGAAGCTACACTTTCCACAAGTGGGCACTCTCAGGGCTCAGTTTGCACAGCTGGATTGCAGAGCTGGGGCCACTCACGCCTGGGCCCACAAATGGCTGCATTTGTAAACAGCAAAGCAACCGACCCCAGCACATGTTCTGACGGTGGTCACGATGATCAATGCTGATTATGAGACCCATGTATCAACATTCGAAGCACCTTGCCTCGGGTGTGAATCCTTCCAGCACGCAGCTAGGAGGCTTCTGTTGCTGCTCCTCGTCGCCAACAGCAACACCGCCACCTTCCTGCTCCTGCTTCAGTCTTTTTGCAGCCTCCTCGCGCGATAGGACTATTTGCTCAAAGACGCTGGTTGCGTCGGCTTTCGGAAGCTGTATGATATGTATATATATATATACATATGTGTACAGATCTGTATACATACACTTACACATCAGCATATCGTAAGAAGGAATCAGGAAAAGCCATACTTCGGTACAGGAACCTGAACCATTTCAATACTATTGCTATGTCTTCTGGCTTCTGCGTTTCAAGCTTCTTATGTAAACAGTTGCACCTGGATCCATTTCGTTCTGTCACATCTCCTCCGAAAACTTATCCAGGACCTTGCCCATGGCGCATACGATGGCAGTTGTTTGTGACTTCCGCGACTGCGGCGGGTTCACGAGGACACTGGCGATGCATAGCGGGCCCGGTTCGGACCACAGTCGCACACTCGCCCCGTTGGTCAGGGCAGCTAAAGCTGACATCACCGGCATGGCCACTGCTATCGGATGCAGGCAAGTTTTCGCCTCCATTTGCCGCAGAAACATCGCGCCAGATGCACCGAAAATATCGCCCGAACTCCGACTCGACCATTTGCCAAGCCTGTTCCATGGCTGCCTCTACTTGGAGGTCCTTACTCATGGCGCGGACAGAGACAAAACGCACGCACGGCCCCCCGCCTTCCTTGCGACATGACCTTCGAAAGCATAAAAAAAAAATTTTGTGTTCCAGCCGCAAGAACTCTGGGACCTTGAACCTCAGCCTCGACATCGCAGAGAGACAGCTGGGCTCGCAACGGACCCCACATCATAACGAGGTCTGACGGTGTAGCAGATCCTACTCTACACTTTCGCATGCGCTTTCCGTCTTTGCGCACTATTGTGCACATCTATCATTTCCGACACGAAGAAATGCGCAGTCAACGGTCCAATGTGTCTGAAAGATGCCTTGTACTGCGAAAACCTTTGAAAAAATTACACAGCTGCTGGAATTGACATTCGCCAAAATTTCTGCATGCTCCGGCAACTTTGGTGAGCAGTTCAAATTACACCACGTGTCAGTGTTCTCGCATGTGGAAACCGTCTATGATGAAGTTCAGCGCTGGGTAGCGTAGTTCCGGGTTCTCTGGAAACTACTTGTCCATGAATTTTCTCAAGTGGCACGCGTCGTCGTGAAAACTGTCCGTACCGTAGGGTATGCCTCCCGAATTTTCGCGACGAATGCTGCTCGCTGGGTTAGGCTTTCACCGCCGTAGATTTCCATGATCGAAGCGACCATGTCGGAGCCTGTGCAGGCAACCAGCCAACCAGCTGACCGCTTGTTCAGCCGACGACTCATCTTCGACGTCCGACATGTCACATAATCTCCAGCTTCGTCCGTTTCCACGTCCTGCATGCCACGTTGCTTCTTGTATGCAAGGATAGACGTTGATCGCATAGCAGTAGCACACAGCAGATCTCGCCCGGCAGGCAGCGGCACTGGTCGTCCGGCCACCCGTGCTTGCATGAGTTGCTTTGCATTCGCTGCCAGGCAAGCACGCTTCCGCACTTCCACTCCCTCTGCTTCGGAGCTTTTCGAGCGAACCCGATTGCGAGGAGGAGCAGCTAGATGTTGAGAACAGAAAATGCCTTTGTAAACTGGCCAACGGCCTCCCCCTATGGCAGGGCGCCCAAGTCGCCGTTGACGCAACCCTTGTAAGCCCGGTCCGCCGGGATGGCCAGCCCCGCCCGCGGGCTGACCAGCAACCGGGCCTCGCCTTGGCACAAGCAGTCGACCGCAAACGCCGGACTTACCCTGAACTGAGACAAGCCCGGCGCTGCCGACTGGTCGTGTTGGGCGTCGAGGTCGGAGGGCGCATCAGCCCGAGCACGCTCACCTTCTTGCGACTGCTCGCGAAGGCGCGGGCCCGCCAAAGGGCGCCGTGGTGTGCGGTCGGAGCGCAGCGAGCCATGACGCACCGCTGGACGGCGCTTGCATCGTTCGCCGCCCTACGCGCGCATGCGTGCTCATTGCTCGAGCTACCCATCGCGGGGCCTGGTGACCCAACGGACGGCCTGGAACTTCCACTCGGGGAGTTCCTGGCGGGCCACCAACCCCCGGCGCCCAGTCGACTCTGAGCGCGCAACGCGGGGTGCAGACGGCACCGCAAACAGCAGGCTGACCCGGGACTTTCTTCGCTGTCGTAAAAAGGCGCGCGCAAAAAAAAAAAAAAAAAACTGGCGTTTCTGTGCAGTCCTGCAAGTACAGCAGGTTGGTGCGTGGCACTTTCTGTACTGTGCTCATGAGGTGGCAACATGTGCGACGCATCAGCTTTTGGTTTCCGTCAATCACGATTACTGAGGGTTCGCCTGCAGTTTGCTTTCTGGCGTTGGCCATCCGCACATCATATGCCTCTTTACTTAAGAAGCACCATACATCTTAATTTGGGAGGCCCTATGCTGAGGATGATGATGGTCCTTGTCGGCTTCCCTAGGTTCCTACTCCTCCCCCAGTTCAAAACAACCAGAAGTAGGATGTAATGGGCTGGTGTTGACCACATGATTGGGTGATGACTGGAAACTTAGGGCGCGCAGGTGCTGAGCACGATTCCACATAGGCGGCTTGTTGGCTCCCCTGGGGCGTCCCTCTGTTGCGGAGTGACTCAATCACGTACGAAAGCCGACTCTGGACAAGGTCAGGCTCGGCAACTGGAATGATGGCCCCGGATGGGCCCTCGCATACAGTCGCACACTCTTGCTTTGATTTCAGTTCGTGCAGCCTGTGACGTTGCTGTTCTTCTTTACCACAGATGTGCACACTCATGTGCTTCGGTCTCATCGTCGTGAATGGAAGGACTTTCGCTCTTGTTCAATAAGACCACGACTCACTGATGAAATCTGTAGAGGGTTAGATAGTTCTGCAGTGCAGGGACATCGTGGACTCTCAAGCCTCAGTTTGCACAGCTGGAGTCTCTCAAGCCTCAGTTTGCACAGCTGAAGCCTCTCAAGCCTCGGTTTGCGCAGCTGGAGCCTCTCAGGCACCGCTTTCACCAGTGGGGCCTCTCAAGACTCAGTTTGCACAGCTGGAGCTTCTCAAGCCTCAGTTCCAGTTTGCATAGCTGGAGCCTTTCAAGCCCCAGTTTCCAAATGCGGAGCCTCTCAAGCCTCAGTTTCCACGCGAATTTGGGGAGTTTCTGCGAGGCTGGCAGCATCGTGCTGCCCGCGCCAGCGACAAGCGCGCGCTTGAGGTGCATCTTTCTCACACTGAGGCCGCATCTCGAGCGCTGCTGCTGTCGCAGGCCGGGCCACACGCTGCACGCGCCTTCACAGTCTTCCCGACCTCAGCTGAGTTGACGGTGCCGTCGCCACTCTTCCGCGTCCTGCTGTTACGACGGCTTCGTTTGCCACTGCCAGTTGCGCCGCGCACGTGCGCCTGCCGCGGTCGCCTGGACCCGCTCGGTGACCAAAGGGCTGCATGTGCGAATGCCAACATCCTCGCGTCTCGCGCCCTTCCTCTCGAGCGGGCGGTTGCGCGAGTGTGCCACGAAGCTGGCGCGCGGGTAGCCCGCAACGCCTCGCAGACATGAACCTCGATGTTCCGGTCTCCGATGACCGCCGCATCGAAGTTGTCGCGAACGGGTTGTCGTTGTGGCACGGCGCGCAGCAGGCTGTTGATGCCACCATCGTCAGCCCTGTGACGCGGGCGGGTGCGGCGCAGCCAGGAGCAGACGTGCACCCCGGGCGAGCGGTCGATGCAGCCGCCCGACGCAAACGTCACCAGACCTACCCCGAGCTTGGCGCGCTCGTCGCTGCCGCTTGGTGGTAGTTGGTGTCGAGGTTGGGGGCCGGTTTGGCGCAGAAGCGGCCACCTGGCTCCGGTCGCTCGCCGGGCAGCGTGCCTCCGACGTGCAGGCTAGTATGCGGGCGGCCGCGCGAACGGCGTGGGTTGCCCGTTGGTCGGGGCTCCTCGCAGTCGCAGCGCAGTGCGCCGTCGCAGCTTCCCTGTTGGAGCTCCCGCTCGCGGGCGAGTGTAACGTTGCCGGGGAGCCGCCGGATCTGCACGAGGTCCTCGCCGACGTGCGGTGGCAGCTTCCGCCTGTTGGCAGCCGCCAGGGGCCTCGCTAGTGCCTTGGTGTGTGCGCCTCCGTAGGGCCATGTAGGCCCTCACGTTTGGGGCTTTCGGCTGCCGGAAAAAGGTCCGCGAAAAAAAAAGAAAAAGAAAAAAAGGAATCGCTTAATGGGACAGGCCCTTCCCCGATCTCATGCCATCGTTTCTTCAGCTGCAGTTTCAACCACGCATCTGCAATCAAGCGCGGCGCTTCGGAGAAATGCTGGTCAAGTCCTAGAACTTCAGCCTCCGAAAGCTAAGATGCGTGCTGCCTTAGCAGCCGTGTGCAAAATTGATCGTGCCAGCTCTTGCACACCCCAAAAATAGGCGACAACATTACCACGTCCTTATGGTTGCACGGCCACGACCCACTAGGGCCGTCAAACCAATGATGTGTTCTCTCCAGCGAGATGAAATTTGACCATATTTGCTTTGCATGGATGGGGCACTCCTTGCGACGACAACGCAGACACACGTGAACGACAGCAAGAATTCCACTGCAAGTTACTACTGTCGCCTTTTTTCCTCTTTCTTGCATAGACCCCCACTGCACTCCGGGCACGAATGTGCGAAAAAACAATCTGGGAGTGTCAGGCTCTGTCATGACATCTGCCAACCTTTCCAGCATGTTCTCAGAAACCAGGCGTGCAGGATCCCGAGACTGCAGAGCGCTCCATCTCTGCTCCATGGAAGCATGTCGTCCTCCTCCCTACAGTCACACACTGCAGATTGTCCCTTGGATAGCTTTTACATGAAAAGCTTCCATTGCACCTGATACATTAGAATTTTGACTGTCCTTGGCGCTTGCTACTTCTGCGGGTCTTTGTTTTCAAGTGCAGCTGCTTAACGTGTCCGGGTCTCGGGTTTTTGGGTTTTAGCCTGAGCGGTTACACGACAAGAGACTTGGTCTTCAAGTTGAAGGGGGGAAGCTTTGACTTGGACCGCGCGCGCAACAGCGAGCATAGGCATTCTCTCCGGGCTCTCAAAATCCAGCTGCCTGGATGTGTTTTAGGAGCTAGTGAGGTTCAACTGGAAACCCTGCAATCACAAGCATTCAATAGAATGAGGCCGTACAGACATTATGTTTTCATACATGCGATATAATACTACACCCGGAACTCTAAACCTAGCAAGTCTTCTTCTTTGAGGGTTTCGCGGGCTTAAGCTTGCAAACTCGTCAACATGTTGTTACACCTGCCCTGCCTTTCCTGCCATCCCCCGTGCTGCGGCCTTCCCTCGTCTTTCTTGCGTCCCTGCCGTCCCCGGCGTCCCTGGCGTCCCCAGCGTCCCTGCGCGGCGTCCCCGGCGTCCCTGCTGCGTCCCCACGTCCCTGGCGTCCCCAGCGCCCCCGGCGTCCCCAGCGTCCCGGGCCCCAGGAGCACATATAATCGCGTTTTTGTGTCCTTGCCTGCGAAGCTGGAGGACGCTGGAGCGCTGAATCCCTGTATACGCCTAGTCACCCAACTCGTGCGACTCCGAGCCCAGCGCGCTCCTGCCGCCCTGCGCCCCGCAGCCAGGCAGGGCTGGTTGCGCCGCTGGTGGGGTTTCTTGAGCGTGGCTTTGCAAAGCACAATTGTTGCCACGCTGCTCGGAGCGCCGTACATCGCTGGGGCCCTGCCTGGCGCACAGCACCCGCCACTCGAGGACGTACTGCACGATGCAGTCCCTCCCAGCCCCAGCCGCCTCGGCCCGTAGCGCGCAGGTTGCACGGGGACTTGGACTAGCGAGTTAGGCGGACGTAAGAAGGTGCGTGAAAAAATTGAAATAAAAAAACTACCTCCAGCATGCACGTCATTCGATGCAAACAAAACCTCGGACAAGCAATCTGTAAAAGCTGTGGGACTCGGCATGTTGGTCGTTGGCATCCCTCGAACGAGCATGGGTGCGCGTAACCAAAGTACGCCAGGCGTCACTGCCGAGGATCGTCGCCGCCCCATGGATCTCGTGATCTACGGCGCGACGCCGCTCGGCCCGTGTTGGGGTGCGCCACTGATGCACGCAAGCCGTCCCCAACCTTGCGCAGCGTCGCATGATGACTGCACGTACCCTGAACTCAGGAGGTGGCGGCCCGCTGTCATGGTGTCTGGATCCGACAAAGGACCCAAGAGGCCAATGGAACATTTGCAGCGCAGAGTTTTGTCCGCGACCTCGTTCGGCTCCGGCGCGCCGCAGTTGCATCCTTTGGCTGGGCAAGACGTTGGTGAAGAGTCGGTTCCGTCGCGGTCCAGCTCGCAAAACTCGATGGAAAAAAGTGCAAAAAGTAATGGCCCTGTGGCAGTGGCAGCATCGCGACGACGTAGACGGATTCGTCAAGTAACAGGTCGTCCAGGAAAGCGACGGCTGTTGTCGGGATAAAGCACTTCCCCCGACGGGCGTACTCCTTATTTTGCTTACGTTCTGCTGCAAGGGCCAGAGGGTGT